ATGCCATAACAGCCCACTTGCACGCTGTGAGAGAGGCAGAGTGAAGGGGAAGGTGTTAAACACAGGGAAAAGCTCAAGAATGAGGCTGTCTATATATATATATATATATATATTTATATGATGTATTCCTTCACAAACATCCGTATATATGCATGTATATGTGTTTATAAGTTATATGTGACTAACTGCCCTGAGATAATGACAAGATGATCAGCGATGCACGAAGAAGAAACTATAAATCTATTATTAGCATAGTGTTCATTGGGCCCGCAGTAAAAGCAAGAGGCCACCCCTTGTGCTGGTTGCATAAGGGAGGATTCTGCGGACATGTATCATGATACATAACATCCCTGCAGAATGTCCCCTCCACGATGCTTAGGAGATGATGATGAAGATATATCACCAACATGGACTTTATTGGGCCCGTAGTAAAAAAAAGGGGCTACCCCTTATGCTCGATGCATAAGGGAGGATTCTGCAGATATATACCATGACAAACAACCCCCTGCAGAATTTCCCCTTCTTGATTTGGTCGAACTTATGGTTCTAGAGTAACAGCAGTAATTGTTCTCTCCAACAGAAAGGACTGCTAGTTTTATTCACGATTGTCATGTCCTAGCTGAAAGGTTATGGGTCTAACCCAAAAAAAAACGTTTCTGGAAGTAGGAAGATTTACGTCTATCTGCCTAACACGCAGTGAGGCTCTTTGCAATTTCCCCGGGAGAGATCTTTTTCAGTGTCTATAAACCTCTGAAGAGTTTTTCATCGGGACCCCTTCCAAAAAAAATATATTTCTAGACCTTATCACGTAATCGTTCGATCCTGTCGCCCCCTATTGGTATATGGACCGGACTAAGGTTCCATTTTCCATTTATGATCTGGTCTGGTCCCATGGTCCCTGCGGTACCCTCTCATTTAGCACGATTGTATTTAAGTGTTTATGATTGTCGGTTCATTCCTCAATCATCGATGTGCCATCCGGGAGTGCGTCTTCGTCCGCGGCTTCCCTGCTGTCTCCCAGTGGCACAGAAGATCTCGTCTACACCTGCAGGTCCTGGATCGCCGCCCACATCGCTGTGTCTTTCTCACTTCCTCGCCCGAACTCCCTTCTTCCTCCTCTTCTTCCTCCTCTTCTCCTCCTTTTTCCTCTCCTCTCCCTTCCCCGCCCTCCTTTCCCTCCTCTGTCCCTCTCTTTCCTTCCATCCCCGTGTCCATCTCTTCCTCTCTCATCCCTCCCCTCCACCTCTCCCTCTGGTCCCTTTATCACGAAACCCCTTCTCCACCTTTTCGCAACGTCTTTTGTTGATAATCACCATTTTTTACCCCCTCGGCGGTCTCATTCCTGGATGCACTGCAGTGACGTGTGGACATACCGTGAGTTCAGGGTTCGTCAATATCCTGTGACCAAAGCTCGGGCGCCATGAATGGGGCTCCTCCATCGTCTTCGTCATCACGTGTATCGGTAATTACGGGCTCGTCCTAATCCCCCATATCTCATACACCCCCACCTCTCTTCTTCCCCCTCCCCTCTTCCCCCTTTGGGTTCTTGCCTACCCAGTCACGAAAGGCTTGTAAAAGCCTTGTCCCTTTCGGAACGAAAACTGAAGCGTTTCTCTCCCCTGATGAGCCAATCCTGGTGGGAGTTGGCGAAAAGGAAAGGCCTTTGGGATTTCCTACCACCCCTTCCTGTTTCGTCGGCCTGAACAGAGCCGCTTGGCTGAATTGGGACAACCCTTATCCATGACCTTTTCTTTCCCCTCCCTTCTTTTTGAAAGTATGCATGATGCTACCTAACCTACCTCTGCGTGTCTTCTTCTTCTTTGTGTGTGCCTTCTTCTTTGTGCGTGATCTGATGTAAAAGTGGATCGCAGCTCTTGGATTGGCTTGAAGAATTTTTGCTACGAGCCGTATTCGCTTCTCTGTATTCATTGATGGAGTCTGCGATCTTCGTCCTTGGGATCGTTTGCGTAGTCGCTGCCTTGTTGGGATATCTGGCCTTCATTGCCTCTCTCGAAGAACTTCGACTGAAGGATGTGTGTTGTTGCCACTTAGCAGAAGAATTTTTTCTGAATTTCATGCTAGCAAGGGGAGGTGCTTAGCATAGACATGGCCATCATGGCTCCGAGTGTTTCTCTTCGATATGCATGGGTGATTTTGATATGCTTTTCTGCGATCATTTCCGAGACTATACTGATGGCTTGGTTCCAGTGGAAACGGAGGAGTGACATGGACAAGGATATTTGCGTAATTGGTGATTCTGCAGTTGATCGCTCATTTGAGATGATAGTGTTGTTGACTATGTTCCTGTCGTTTTTAATCTCCGTCCTAGCACTTGTCTTAGTTGTAGAGAGGGAGAAGATGATGATGCATTTTCTGCAATCTAGTTGGTGGCATGGGAAGCGTCACTAAACAGGCTTGGCATACTTCGAACTGCGCAAGCCCCGTGGATTTTTGCAGAATGATGTTTGGCATTTCAGCTATCTTGGTATCAATTGTTTGTTCATGGTTGAAGTTGATAGGATGAGCTTTACTCGGCATCTCCCATGATCATGTTCCGGGTTGGTTGATGAGATATTCTGTTGTGGTTATACAACAGGTTATTGCACGAGTCCTGCGTCTGTTCTTGGTTTTCTCCACTCTATTGCCACCTGTCTATTGAATGTCCCTATATCTCCTCTAGAGTTTCTTTTCTCACACAATTCTTCCCCCTCCCCCTATCCTCCCACCCATTCTTCTGTTCCTTTTCTCCTTTTTCTTTCACTTTCCTCTTCTTTCCCGCCTCCCCTCTATTTTAGCTCTATATCCCATCCCTTCGGTATACACACAGGTTAGATACTCGTGTTATTCCAAGCATGAATTATGAGGCTAAATTGTGACGAGCTGGCATGATGGTTTCATATGGTCCTTTGCACGATGCTTCTTTGGTCGCAATGATGGTCGCTCTTTCATATGGCTTGTCTTCGCGCCGTGCTTGAGCTTTGCAACTCGTCGCGACTATGCTCGCGGGGGTTTCGTCTCTCATCACACACACACACACACACACACACACACACAAAGAAAGCACAGCAAACCTTACACTGTGCGGGACAGCACCACAGTTATGTGAGAGCCTGTGGAAATCCCAACGTCCATACTTTCCGTTTAACTACAGCATGAGGATGACAGGTCATAAAATCACATATATGATAAACAACAAAGGACTCGGAAAGGACCGCAAAACATGCAGTTCAAGATTTACTGATTCAAGTTGGGAAATGGAACCTACGAGTCAGTTCGGCCGTCTTCTTTCTTTCAAAAAAGGGCAATGGCCTTGACATATCATTGTATAAACGGCCCCAGGTAATTCAGAATTTCATTCCTTTTAGTTCCATTAGTACCATCCAGATTCGAACTCCGGTCTGTATTTCAACACTTCAGTTCAGGGGTGTATCAACTGAGCTAGGCAATCGGGACCCCCCCCACAAGTGCACATCGTCAACAACAGGCAGATATAATTTCATTCGCACAGAGCACATACCCTCTCTCTCTTTTTTTCTTTTTTCTTTTTTTTTTCTAACACACTCCCCCACCAGTGCTAGTGGTGCTGATACGAGCAGACACCGCTAGCACCTGGGGAGAGGCTCCGTCTATTGGTGGGGAGCATCACCTGCTGGAAAGCGGGTCCAGCGTCCCTTATACAGATTGAAATCGGAGTACATCCGACAGCAGTTTGGGGGGTGTTCCTGCCAGCATTGATTACCCTGCGATCCAGGGGATTGACAGAGCACATACCCTCTCTTGACCTCTTCGCGCTTCAAATGTGTCAGCAGAGCCATCATTGTTTGCCGCAGTAGCAAGAACCCGCACTCCAGGTCTCCAAGCGCGGGTCGCTACCAACTGGCCCTTCTGAAAGACAGCTCCGCCAGTCTGCAAGCTCTGTGTTCTTCGACTCGACGCAACATGATGGCAACACACTGCAAATGAGGCCGCTCGTCCGGGGCCTCCTGATGATGATATACTGGTCCATCCTCTGGACACGGGCATTTGCCCTGAACTGGATGCCCTGGGTCCATGGCACCTGGTCAAGATCTCACAGCTAAAAGATTGTCTACTTTGGCTGCACCGCTGAAGAGAATGCGCACCAGTTAAAAAGGAGGAGGATTGCAATGACAATTTCCCCAACATTGACCCCAATTGAGTCAACCTGATTGTCATTCCATACAAAAGAAACAATACACACACGGAGAGAGCTGTCTCTTATACACATCTAGATGTGTATAAGAGACAGGTAAATGATAATCTAATATGTTGGGGGAGACGTTGGAGGAGAGAGAGATGGTGGCTAGTTGAGGGAGAAGTGACGTTGATCCCAGCCCGTCTACATCTTTCTTTTTTTTCTTTTTTTTTCTTTTTTCGTCCTCCATTCTTCCTCTTCCATTCTTCTCCTTCCTTTTGTGTATTTCTCTTTCCGATCTCTTTCATTTCAGTTGCAATTGAACCGCATCGTCTCTTTTTTAGCTCTGCATTATGACATTTTTTTCCCAGGATCATAACACTTCTGTGTGCTCACTATGACATTGCTCCTGGCTTTTCCCGACTCGACTATGACGCCGAGGTTTCCAGGATCATCACAGCTGGTCTTGGATAATGGACTCCTACTTTAAACATTTGCAGCTGTGAAAACCAGTGAACTTCTGCACAAGGGAAAGTAGAAGGGAGAAGTGTGCCATACTCAGTGTTACACACACAAACATAGTAATTGATAGAATAGAATGATTGTTCCCCAGCTCCTTCCTGGACACTTCTACTTTACATATTGCAAGCGCCGCGCAAACAGCAAGAAACTTCCGCAGAAGCCGAGGGAAGAAAATGCAAAAAATACTCACGTGAAAGCAGAATGAATGTCGCCCAGCTTCTGGACAGTGCCATTTCCGAAAGTGGCATTGATCTCGCTCATTGCAGCATCCAGCGCTCGTTGCTAAAGACAAAAGGCAAACGAAAGAATTGACAAGTGTCAGTCAAATGGAGGAGGAATGTCGCAACACGTACGTGACGAAACACAATATCAGCCAATTACGCTGGGGAATACAGTAATTACTTTTTTTTCCTTTTTTTAATACACTAATTACTAATTCGGGACATCCATTAAGACAGGAAGTTCAGGAACAATACACAGAGAGAGAGAGAGAGAGAGAGAGAGAAGATTAGCATGGCCCCTGTGCAGTCAAGGATGACATCATGACACGCATTAATCGAGAAATGGAACGGGGTGTTGTGAGCAGTAAAAAGCAACCAAAAAAAGAGAGGGAAAAAAAGAGAGGGAAAAAAGAGAGAGAGAGAGAGAGAGAGAGAGAGAAGAGACATGAACAGAGGACGACACAGAAAAATACAGTGGAAGAGTGACAGAGTGAGAGAACGGTAACCGGAGTGACACAAGGCGCTCCTCCAGTGGAAAGTCTGCCCGCATCGGCGGCACCCCTGAACAGCTGAGTGGCCGCGACAATCCGCAGAAAAAAACAGCTGAACACTTCAACTAAAAAAAAAAAAAAAAAAGAACAAAGGTAAAAGTAGAGGGACAGTTCACCGATTGCCACCTGTTAGCTTTTTTTTTTTTTTTCCCCCGAAATGGCAACAGCTTTCAGATATCACCATTGAACTGAATGGTTCAAGGTGTTCAATGTTCATCAGACCATCTGGCTGCATCTGGATTCAGACGCAGGTCTGTATTTCAGCATTTCATGGTTGTACCAACTGAGTTCGGCCCATCGGATTGTGGCCACCTACTACCGTCTGCACCGGAATAGAACGCCCGATCATTATAGCTGAATTTGGCCCAACTTTCAGTCCAGAGCGATAATGACCCGGGCGTTCTATTTGGGTGAAGACGGTAGTACGTAGGCTGGACAGACGAATGGAGATGATCCCCCACCAACGCATGCAGAGTTTTCCTGATTGCCTTGATGGGGGCTCATCTCCATTGGAGCCTGGGAATCCCTCACATTGAGTTTAGGAGGGCTCGTCTCCATTGTAAGCCCACTTTCCCTGAGCCCGGGACCACATACGCCGTCCGGGTCTGAATCCAGGCACACAATATAACCATTTATGATGCATTCCCGACTTGCTGGTTGGAAAGGAGCCACTTCACGGAATAGGAGGGGGTGCCCAACAACAGTGGTTGACTCGAATGCTAAGTAATATACCCCAATTACTCGCCAGAAATGACCGATATTGTGCCGCCAATGGTGGCCACTCTGCGTAATCATCAAGACCACCTTATGCAAGCCCCCCCCCCCCCCCCCCCCCCCCCCCCCCCCCCTCTTTCCTCCTCTCCCCCCCCCCCTCTCTCCCCGCACTTTCCCCCTACACACACACACACACACACACACACACACATACAAGTTCTTGAATTTATGTATATATATTGTCACATCACTACAAACTAAAAGAGCGCACTTTGCGGAACAAAGAATAAAAGCAAAAAACGGGCACAGTGATAACATGCAAAAAGAAAAAGAAAAAGAAAAAACAAGGGCAGATTGAAACCATTAAATT